GAGAGAGAGAGAGAGAGGGAAGAACGGGTCGTTTTTCTGTCCAATATATCTGGCCGTCTCGTTGAACCTTTGCAAATCCGCATTCACATCACGACTGAACTTTCGCCTTGATGGTCTCATATGCTTTACAGAAACGTCGGAATATACTACCCAATTTGTCCCATTTTCTTTCTTTTTTTAATTCACATCTCAACCTCATCTTCGAATTTGATCAGGATACGAGAAGCTTGGCACGAGGCATTGAGCGAAATCGAAAGAAGATAGCGAATACATAGTGCAACGTCGTGTTCGACAACACATTGCTCCTAATAATCAAGAGCGTCCCACTTCATGGCAGTGGGAGCTGATGGACGCACGTCACGCGCGGGTACCTAGTAATAGTGGAGGTGACTTTACCACGTCACAGTGACGATAAGGCCGACATGCACGGCGCGCGTGGGTGCAAAATGATGGTGGGAGGCGACTGTGGTACGGCTAATGGAGATGGGTAAGAGGAATGGAGACGGTGGCTAAGTAATCCGATAGAGATTAGTTCACTCCTCCGCCTGGTTGGCTAGGAGCGCGATCATTCGTGGGTGGTGTTTACAGTGCCACCATGGTAGCCGGTAGGTAAAAATGCAACGCCGCACCCTTTTCTGAGAGAACGTCGTACCCATAGATACTTGATACCACTAGATCGAAACCGCTGTGCGGAAAGTGTGCTCGGCGAATAGGGGCATTGTGCATTGTATTAAACTAAAGGCATATGTCTTATCGGCAGGAGTATGGCTTAGCATCTACGACGCAAGAAGATGAAACGTTGCTTCCGGCTGATAAATGGGTACGTTTCACAAAAAAGAACTGTCGAGTTGGGTCGCCCGTAACTCGCCCGGTTTACATTAGTTTATCCAGTTTAACTGCGAGTCTATCCATCTCACAGTGATGCCCCTCTCTCGCTGGCACACGTCTGCTAGTCATTTATGATGAGCATTGCCGATCTAGTGGCATCATATATCTATGGTCACACTCAGGTACGGTCAGCTCGCATGCGGATGTCATTAACTTTAAGCTCCGCCGATGGGGCCAATTCCAGCCGTGACCGCTGCTAAGATGGCGTTGTACCCCAGCGCTACCCTCCTTACCCGTATAGTGAGCCACGAGTTAAAATCGCACGTAGCCACCGCGAGCTGAAACCGTCCATGAGTACCCAGAGTTAGTGTCGTGGCTGGTCACTGTCATCTGAGGCACTACAATTCGAAATTGTTTCTAAGCAGTATGCACTGCCAGCTCAAGTCGTATCTAAGCACAGCAAGTTGAACTCCTGGCTCTCATGAAAATACCCGTCCCATGGACAGCTGGATGCGTGGATGTGTTGTTACTTGAACTAAAGGGTGCATCGACAGCCGCAGTCATTTTGAGCCCGAAGTGATGTGTGGGTGTGGATGCGTGAATGTGGATGTAGATATTTTCATCCACATAGATGTTCTCAAGCAGCGCATATTGAACCCTTTCCCGGGTATTCTGCTGGCCGCTGTCGTTCCCCGGCGACAGGGAATCCAGTCCGCACCTCGGTAAGAGAAGCCGCTGCCGTACCCAGACACTGGAGCTGCTACGTCCGTACCCAGACGCAGGCAGCTGAGGCCACCCTTTAGCGGTACCACGAACCGAGGCCATACCTGGGTACTGGGAGGTAGGGCAGCCGCCCGAGCGGCAGTCGTGCGGGATCTTGTAGTCGAGGGTGTAAGGCCAGACGGGCACGCGGGCCGGCGCCACCGACACCGAGCTGTCCCACACGAAGCCGTAGTCGAGCATCATCTGTCGTGGGGAAGCTCGGCTCTGAGGCTGACCGCACGGTCGGGACACTGAACCATGTGTTGCAATGACACGCCACACTCAGATTGGACCCAGCTAACCAGAATCGCCCACTGGTGCGACAGCTGCCCATCAGCCAGCGATTCATTGACGTATTGCCACCAGAGGGCGAAGAGTACATACGACAGGCTGCATTAACGACCGCGTCTTACCTTTCTGCCTTTGTAGCTAGAGCTGACCCTAGCCTTTTTAAATGCATGGATTCTGGGATCAGAGTCGACGCTGAGAGGAGTTGAACACCATCATCCGAACGTCAAACCTTAGGTCAACGGCAAAGTTGTCCGTCCTTGGTCTGTTGTGATGTACGGCACAATGCTGCCGTGATCAGGATGACTCTGACCACGGCAGGATCGTGCTTTGATGCCAGACTTAG